CAATAATGTCTCGTGAGCTACGTGGGTTTGAGACCCAAAACATTTATCACTTTTTCATCAAAAACGTTTCATGTTTTCAAAACATAGTTTTAGACCATAAAACATTTTCAATCATTTTCAAGGAAAACTCATTTCATACATGTCATAAATATCATTTCATACCTTCTCATTTCATTTAATTTCAAGCCATATTTCCATATTTCATTTTCTTTTATCAATAAGGGTTAATTCCGGTATTATATCGTTGCCATTTTTATACTTAGGGTCTACGTCCAATAAAGGAACCACTCCCAAGTCTAGACCAAGGTGGAAAGAACAAATCAATCCACAAAGACATCATTTCCATTAGGACATCTATCTCGCGAAGGGGAGGCGCCACCCCGATAGATTCCTCCAGTGCCTCTTGCGAGGTATCATGGCCCGGGCAGTTTTCATTTCATTACTTTCCAATTCATTTAATTACTTTCCATTCCTTTTCATTACTTTACATTTCTTGTCATTACTTTCCACGTTTTACACATTTCATATTAGTATCATAATACTCATTTCAAAACATTTCAAACACATTATCAAAATATTTGTTCTTCTAAAACGTTCTTTGCTTTCAAAAACATTCTTGCCTTCAAGGCATTCTTTTTAAATATTCTTTCCAAAAGCATTTAACACTTTCACTTCAAAACGTTTCATATATCAAAACATTAGTATTTCATTGTTATAAAAAAAAATCATTTTGCCATGTACCCCAAAGTGGGGAAAATGCCAACAGTTACTCACCTCAATCATACGTAGGTTAGCTAATGCTCTTCTAGTTCCTTTCCCTAGATCAATCCTCTTCGAACACTACCTACACCATATATGGACATAAGTCATTAAAATGACCAAAATACCCCTCATAGCTTCCATTACTAAATTTTATTATTTCAAATTATTCCTCATGCAAAAATATGAATGTAGGCGAAAACCGCACGTAAATCCAAGTCCGTATGCAAAAGTTATGACTAAAATACTAAAATTCAGATTTTTGGTCGAGCTGGGAAAACTGATGTATGTGCGCGGGCCGCGTGGGTCACGCGGGCCGCGTGCCGTAGCAGCCCAAACACCCCCAAAAAGTCACTTTTTAAGTCTTAAACTTCCTTGGATGGTTTTGGTCATTTAGGTAATTATTTGTAGCACTTTTAAAGGTTTCCAAGCACTACTAAAGGGTGTTTTATCATGTCAAAACATTCAACTTAATTCATTAAGTCCTCAATCAAAATGCTAAGTTCATAATGCTTACAAACACTCAAATGAAAGGGTTAAGAGTTCATGTTACTCAAAAACACTCTTTAACCAATATGACTTATTCCCAAGTCATTTAATACATCATTGGGTGTTGACAAGAACATGAAACCACAATTAGTCTCATTGCAAGTACTTAATACAACTATGGAATCCTCAGTTCCATTTTATGTTTCCTAAATTGGCCTTTGGGCCAAAACAATCACTAGAGCTAGAACCTTACTAGCATCCCTTCATGTTTGTGTTCCAGTATCATCTATAAAGTGTCAATTCATATTCATGAATGTCATTCACTTCTTAGATGTCAATCTTTATGTAGTAATCAATACATTTCCCAAAATGCCCTTGTGGCTAAATATTCCATAAATCCAACTAAAAAACATTCAAGTCCTCATGTTTTTGCATTAAAACCATTCTAATAGTATCAACTCATGTTTATGAGTATCATATACTCATCAAATGCTCATATAGAAATGGTTCCATTGTTTTCATCACATTTCACTCAATTCCATTCCAGTTATAGTATAAACATGATTCTACCATCATTGCTGAATTTGAGCATTCTAATTGTATTTGTTGCTATCAAATATCATCTAGGTCATAGAATCCAATCTCATTTCATCATCAACTACATTATTCCCAATTTGGGTTTTCTAGGGTTCATGAGGGTTTTCACCTAAATCATCCAATCCACCAATATACTGATTGGTTTGAGATTAGAATCATTAAAACTAATCAAGGGAGGTTAGAAAACCAAACCCTAACCATTTATTTGAACTAAAAACAAGATCGGAGTTTTACCCAAAACTTGAGATCGAAAATGGAGCAAGAGGAAGAGATTTTATACCTTGTAAGCATTGATTTCCTTCTTTTCTTTGCTTGATTACTTAATCCTTCACTTAGATCAAACCCTAGATGGAATAAGATGAAGAATCGCCAATTGGAGGGTCTCCAGAATGCCCATCACGAATCTGGAAGAGATATAAGGAGGGTGTTCATCTTATTTCCAGATTTTTCATATTTTGTCCCTTAAGTTTGCTCATTTTAGCCACAACTCACCAAACCTCAATATTTATGACTTTAACTCATGTTTTGACATAATAAGTCCTTCTTCATCCATTTTATAACCTTGATAATCTCTTCCATTTAGTCAACCCTTTGGTCAACTAACTTTGCCAACTTGACGCTTTTGTCCCTTTACTTTTAAAATGTTATTATTACACTTCTAACTTTCTAAACTTCATATCAACTTATGTTATGATTATTACTTAATGATTTAACTATATAATTCATTTTAATTTATTTACTTTATTAATTTAAGAACATACTCTTAAATTTTAGGATGTTACAGTTACTCCTGATTGGATAGGTAGAAACTACATAACTGAAATTGCAAATAAACCTAAGGTGAAGCTTAAAGAGATGATTACTGACATCAGACAAAGGTTTAGGTGTGTTGTGTCTATAGGCCAATGCCGTAGGGCAAAGAAATGGGCCAAGGAGCTAATTGAATGTAAATTGACTGAACATTATGCCAGAATATGGGATTATGCACAAGAGATGTTAAGATCTAATCCAGGATCTACATGTAAGGTGTGTGTAACTGTCAATCTAGATGGGATAAACTATTTTCATAGGTTTTATATTGGTTTCAAAGCTATATGTGAAGACTAGAAAAGAGGGTGTAGAGGAGTTATTGGTTTGGATGGGTGCTTTCTGAAGGGAGCAATAAAGGGTGAGTTGTTGACAACCATAGGTAGAGATGCCAATAATCAGGTCTACCCAATTGCTTGGGCTGTTGTGGATGTTGAGAATAAGCCTAATTGGACATGGTTCCTTGAGCTTATAAGGGATGATTTAGATCTTGATAGTGGAAGAGGTTTGGTAGTGATATCAGTTCAACACAAGGTAAAAGTTTACATACTTGTCCTCTACTTAATTGCATAATTATCTTATTACATATTTGTCCTATACTTAATTGCATAATTATCTTATTACGTATTTGTCCTCTATCAAACATAATTAAATCATTGTCTTGTAGGGTATGTTTGAATCTGTGAAAGATATATTGCCTCATGTTGAACACAGGAATTGTGCTAGGCACATTTATGCCAACTTTAGAAAGGCTTTCACAGGTTTGGAGTATAAGAAGTTGTTTTGGGTTGCCTCCATGAGCTGCACAGAAGGTGAATTCAAGAGGCATATGGAAAGCATCAAGACTTTGAACCCTTCTTCATATGAATACTTGATGTCAAAACAACCAAAAACATGGTGTAGAGCCTTTTTTGGATCAGGCTATGCATGTGAAGTAGTTAAGAATGGGATCTCATAGTGCTTTAACTCAATAATATTGGATGCTAGGAAAAAACCTCTGATCACCATGCTTGAAGAGATACGGATTTATATCATGGATAGGTTTGCTTCCATGAATGAGGAAAGTGAAACGTGGAATTCAAATGTTTGTCCAAAAATTTTGAAAAAAAAGTGAATCGATTTGGGAAAAATATGAGGTACTATTTTATGCTTTCTAAAACTTGTGTTAATCATTAATTATTGTTACTAACTTGATACTTGATTGTAGGTTTTGGGGAATAATTCATAGTCAAGGACATGTGTTTGAGGCCAGAAGAGGGTGTGACAGTTACAAGTTAGACTTAGATGATATGACCTGTTCATGTAGGTTGTGGGATTTGGCTAGCATCCCTTGTGTGCATGCAAATTCAGCAATTAATTTTATCCATCAAACACCTGATGCATACATCAATGCATACTTCTCTAAAGAGAAATTTAGGCAATGTTACCCAACAAACATTGAACCTGTTAATGGCAACAATCTTTGGGCCCAAACTGAATACATTTAGCCATTGCCTCCAATGTCTAGGAGGATGCCTGGTAGGCCTGCTACAAAAAAAAGAGGCATGCCAGTGATAAGGAGAGCAAGTTTTCAATAACAAAAGTGAAGGTTGCAAGAACTACCAGATGTGGCAATTGTTTGGAATATGGTCATAACAAGAGGGCGTGTAAGAATGAGAGAAAACAATATGTGCCTCCCCCACCAAAGAAGACATGAAGGCCAAGAAAACATCTTATCCCCCACGTATCTGTTCCTAACCAGCCACTAAATGAGAGAATGAGAGAAAACAATACTACAGGCCCTGCTCAACCAAATGTCCCAAGTCAACCTTCATGCTCTAACATAGTGAGGAAGAGTCCAAGAAAACATAACACTGTTTGCAAGCAACATGCAGGTTCTAAAAGAGTTAGGAGAAATAGTATTGATGTACCTAGGAAGAAGTTATGCACAAGGAGAGATGGTGGGAGGATTGGTTCTGCAAAAACTAGGAATAATACTCCAAATATAGGTACTCAAGAGAGTGTGGTTCAACAAGTTCCAGTTGCTGATGAGGGTGAAAATGTCATGCAAGAAGGTTATAATATGGGTGAAAGTGTGGTTCAACAAGTTCCAGTTGTAGAAGTTCCTACTATTGTAGAAGAAGGCGTGGTGCAGGATGAAGGTGTGGTGCAGGAAGAAGGTGTTGTGCAGGAAGTTCCAGTAATTCATATTCAGGATGGTCATATGATGCAAGAAGGAGGAACTAGTCAAACAACTGTGATGCAAGGTAGTGACACTTTTGGGCAAGTAGGATCCAATATTGGTTGGAAGCTTAAATCAATAAATGATGAAATTAAACAAGGTATTGATGCAATTTTACAATGGGTTAACTTCACAAACTCCAGTCCACTTAAGGGTGACAATGTGGTGGAAGATAACGAGGTAATTGAGTTTACTGAGGGCAAACAGGAGGATATTCTCCCAGAGAAGATACAATTAGGACTTTTAGACATTGCTAATATGCTAGAAGCTGGTTATAGCATGATAGAAATAGAAGTTATGCCAGGGGTACAAGTGGAATTGAATAATTTCCCACAAGTTGAACTGGTAAGACCTATTATCTTTTATTAATTAACATTTTTTTTGGTCATTGTTGTGAACTAATTATATCTTTTTACACTAGGATGTAAATGATTTCATTGATGGTCACCATTCTGATGATGATGTTGGTCTGGATGATAGAGATGAAGGTGTTGGAGATGAAGCTATTGGTGATGGTGCTGGAGAAGCTCATGGTACTGGAGATGAAGTTGTTGGTGTTGGTGATGAAGAAGGTCATGGTCCTGGAGATGTTGATGATGGTGATGGACCTGAAGGTGGTGTTGAGGAATTGGGTGACGATGAGGGAAATCAGGGTGATGATGGAGGACATGAGGTTGTCCTAATGGTTAGGAGAATAAGGAAAACATATGAGAGGATTACCAAGATAAAGTTAAGGGTGTCTATGACAAAGATGGTGGTGGTTCTTCTTCTGTAAAGCCAATCAACTTGGAGTAGTTTGTTAAGAAGAAGGGGGATGGGGGTGTAGTGGGAATGATATAGGTTGCCACTTTTGTAAACTTTGTTTTTTGGCATTTTGGTACAACAACATTCGTACACCCACTGATTGCAGCATGCATCCAATTGTTATTTTGTTACCATTTAGGTTGCCTTTTTTGTGCATTGTTTAGGCATTTTGGTACAAATGGATGGCTGCTACATATTGGTAGTATGTAATTAAACTTTATGTAATGGATACACCCCCTTCTATCTTATGTTCAATCTTTTAGTTACTAAAATAGTTAACAATTTTTACCGTTCACCAATTGTTTCTGGAATGTACCATTTTAGGGACCATTGTATGCAATGTACCTTTATGCAATCTTTTAGTTAGTAAAATAGTTAACAATTGTTACCATTCACCAATTGTTTCTGCAATGTACCATTTTAGGGACCATTTTATGCAATGTACCTTGATGCAAAGGTGCGAATACATACCAATTACCATTTAATTCAATCTACTGAAATAACATTTTATGCATATACAAGCATTAAAACAAACCAACTTGTACTCCAAATTCATATCAATTACCATTTTAATTCAATCTAAAACAAACCAACTTGTACTCTAAATTCCATTGTCAGAAATTAATCATCCAACATTGCAATTAACATCCATACATTAATACATACCAATTACCATTTAATTCAATTTATTGCAATACCATTTTATGCAATATACTTACAAAACAAACCAACTTGTACTCCAAATTCCATTTACTGAAGTTGACCATTCGAACATTGCAATCAACATCCATACATTACAAATTACAATCCTAACATTACATATACCTACAAAAGTATCATAAATACCATCAAAAGCTACATATTTCAAGATCACAATATTAGTGGCATAACAACCAACTACCATTAAATCTTGTATACTACTAGAACAATCATGAACAATATAGCTCCTAACAAAACAACAGCCATTTGCATTAATGCCATCATTTGTCGCTGCTCTGTAAGCCGATTTGACTCTGGCATCATATATTGTTTTTGAACTCCTTCATCGTCAACCCATCTGAAAAACCCACAACCTCATTTTCCCTACATAATTAGGTCAGTGCATAAAACCCTTAGTGCAATCCTACTGGAAAATCTCAGGATGATGAAATAAAGAAAAGGGAAAATGATTTTTATCTTATAATTAGGGCACCCCCAAAATTTCTTGCCTGGATTTTCTAGTGTACGTGAAACAAACACAGGGCATAAATCTTCACACCAACACTTCACTTCTATCTTCTTCTTGAATCGTGAATTCACATTCTAGCTTGATTTTGTAGAAGATGTTGGCATTTTGCGTGGGAGAATATTGTGGATGTGAGAGGATGCAAGAAACAGGGGGAGGGAGAAAGGTTATGTGGGAGAGGGTTATAAAATGAGGCTCATGTTTGACATGTCACCTAAAGTGCCAAATCAGCACATGGGTAACCGTCTACTAAGGGTGCAACCCCTTAAATGAGATATTCAAAACATTTAGTGAAAGTATCCAGCTTTATTATCCCAAAACTAATCCAACGGTAAAACCGACATTTTTTTTGGAAAACTTAAAGGATTTTATGACAATTTCCCAAAGTTTTATAGGATTATCACTCGAGTAAGCAAGATGTAACAAAAGATTCACCATAGCTAACGAACAAAAGATGGTGGAGTTAACAATTGAACTATTGTTTTTGTGTATGTATAAACATGTGTAATGTATGTAAATGAAATATAAGCGGCTGTTGACACCTGACTTAGGATCGGTTATTTTAGGAAAAAAGGTGGAACCGAATGGCTAAAATCAGTTATTTTGTTCAATACTGGTTCAAGTTTTGATATTTGGTCCCTAATACTATCCTTATTCCTTAATTCCGCCTTGGAAAAAAAAGCTTTGGGTTGAAATACGAGTAATATAAAAAGTCGTTGATCGGTTTTACACGCCTAGAAAACAAAGAAAGTCGTTAACCAAACAAATTGCCTAGTGTACTAAACTGGTCCACTCATTTAGTTTTAGTCCAACCTCCGACCAATCATTAAATACTGTCTAGACACGTGGCACCAGGCTTAAGCCCAAATAACACGATGCATATGGCTTAAAGCCTTTTCCCTCCATTAGACACGTCAATTGCAACTATTCTTCACTTTGACGAATCATAAATGTGCCTTTAGATCGCACATTCGTACTTTTTTTTTTTTTCAAAAGATAATATTTAATACACAATGAATATATATTTAAAAAGGTTTACAACTTCAGTCACCTTTTTAATTAATCATTATGGATTTATTCATTTACTTATTATTGAGATTTCTGATATACTTTACCATCAAAACCACCATGATTTTCTCGTATGGATATTCATAGGTTCCGTTTTTTTCTTTCTACAAGTTATCAATGATATTTTTTATCATTTAGAACAATACTTACGCTTTATATAACGATTTGCTTGTATGCATATTCATAGGTTCCGTTTTTTCTACAAGTTATCAATGATATTTTTATTATTATTTAGAATAATACTTACGCTTTATATATAGGACGAAATAATACTTACGCTTTATATATTCGATGAAATAATGGTATGTCTTTTAGCAAAACGTATATTTAAACATTGGTTTTATTTAATATTTGCTTTGCCGTTTTAGAAAAAAAAAATATATGCTTAATAAATTATTGTCGGATTTTAAGAGAATAATCAATAATCATAGTAATGATCTTTAAATTTTTTTTAGCTGCATGTAATAAATTGGACCACCTAACCACTCCATCCTATTTTCACAACTAAATTGATCCAATAAATATTTTATAGTCTTTGGTATATTATTTTTAAAGTACAAAAATCAATCTGGTATTGTAGAGCAATTTGATGTAAATTGTTAATTTTTAAAAATAGATATAACTTAATTAAATCATCTATTTTTTTTTCATTTTCTTAATATAAAGTAAATCAAGAAAAGTCTCATCGTAAATTCAAAATCTTTGAATTCAAAAAAGGCCACGAAATAATTTGGTCGACAACAAGTCTGTTCAAAAAAACAAAATTCGTCGACAAGACGCGGAAAGAAGCAGTTTTTGGTCTTTACGAAGAAGATTATTTCGATAATTGGAAACCTGAATTCCTACTTAAAACCCTTTCTATAAAGAAAAAACCGAATAATTTCAAGCATTCAGAATCCAGAGCTCCAAGATTGTTCTCCAGTTAAAGCAATCATCTTTAAAACCGCGATTTTTTTCAAAAAATCTTCACGAAAGAATCTGTCTCTCGACAATAACTTTGGTATATCGAATTTTTAGTAACGAAATCTTCGAGATTAAAGCTCTTTCAACCTACGTTTGGTTTCTCGAACTATTCTTGGTGTTCAATCTCAAGAACAATCCCAGGTACTCTTTTAAAAAAAAATCCATCATTCTTATAGCGAGTGGAACATATACAAATTAGTTCTACTTGTATGGGTCAAGGTCAACGATCTTATAAACTTTTCGTTGCTTTAGTCTCTGAATGTGAGCACGTAAACACGTTTTCGTTCATCTTTACGGGTTAGGGCTCTTAACGATTATTATCGCTTAAGTTATCTACTTCATCTCTGTGGGGTGTTGTATGATTTTATTTTGGAAATATAGTTTTTTTTCATGATGGGTGCTGGGGAAATCCAACTATTGCATGTTTAATTTGGTAAAAGTAGGCACATGATTGGTTCAATTGCCGAATATGTGGATGAAATTGAAGGAGGAAGCACATGTGTTTTGTAGGCAATTAAATTGGTCTTTTTCTTGTATGGAATTCAGTTCACTATAAGAATTATGTCACAAATCACACTTTGTGAGTTTGTTCCCACTGCGACACTTGTTCTTGATCTTTCATTCGTGTTGTTTTTTTTGGGTAGTTGAAGTTTTTTACGTTTCTGCTTTAAGTTCATAGTTGTAATAATTCTTCATGTTCTTTTATGAGTTTCTTCAGGTTTTACCTTGTGGTCAAAGCTGTAATTCTGTTCGGCTGCTTGGGTTTTAACTTTTACCAAAGAATTAAGCTGCTTTTGCAGCTTAATTTGTTCTTGTTAATATGAATTTTGAAGAAAGTAAAAGAAAGGGAAACTCTATGACTATTCGAAGGTTTGATCTTCATCATTGTTGAATCTTTTTTTTTTTTTTTTTTTTTTGTTTTAATGTTTATTTATATCCAAATAATGAAACTTTCAGGAAATCAAACGAGTATATGAGGTTTATTTTAACAATCACAGTTGGTATTCTTTTTGGGTTCTTCATTGGCGCATCCTTTCCAGCTTATTCACCATCAAATGTAAGTCATGCAAAAAACCACTATTCTGGATTATTTTTACTTTGATAACAAGTTTTTAATTGTTTAAACTTTGACAGATTAAACTCATTCCTCCCATTGATACATACATTTGGGACAAAAATTCAGGCCACTCTACACAAACAATCTTAAATGTGATATCTGTCACAAGGGATAAAATCTCAAAGGAAGCAGGAAACCTTCCTCATCCATCAAAGGTATATATATTTGCTTATAATTTTCACTTTTTTTTTGGTAAAGTTTACTCTTTTTGACCTAACACGATCCAATGACATGCATATCATATCTTTATTGTTGAGTTGAACGACTTTATATCTTGATTATTTAAAGAAAAATTTGATGCAGATTTGGGTTTCATCTAACCCTAGAGGTGCAGAAAGACTACCTCCAGCTATTCTTGCTTCTGAATCAGATTTATATCCTCGCAGATTATATGGTCAACCTAGTGAGGTTTGTTTATCTTTTTTAACAAATCTTTAGCATATGTTTTTTTTGAACATATAGAAGTACTTGCTTTTGGATATTTTTCAGAAGCTTAGTACGATGGTTCAGAAGATTAATGACTCATTTTTAGTACCATATAAACGGGGCCCACAAAACAAAAATATAAAAAGATGGAAAAAAGTAGTTTCTTGAAAGT